TCCTCCTCACTTCTTCGAGCTGACAAATAGAAAATCTACTTGTTAAACAAAGAAACAAATTTAGCATAATAGGCACTAAACTTAAAGCGGGCCTAAGCATGAACCTGTAGGATACATGACAGAATTACCAAATCATTAATATATTTTAAATAAACATATACTTCTTCCATGCTTAGATCCTTAGATAATAAATTCTGCTCTGAGCTCCATCAGGCCACATACAGTCTGGGGAAACACAAGGTATTTGGCTACCAGGGGAATTGTGGGATTAGCTTATATAATTAGAATCTTCAGTTACAGGGTCAATTCAATAGGAGGGTCAGCAGCTGGAAGCCCTGGAAATATAGTTGTCCCCATGAACAATAGTGTGTGTGTGTGTGTGTGTGTGTGTGTGTTGACTGATGCTCGGGGCTCTCTCTCAAAAGAGAACTATGGGGGGAAACGCTTACCCCATAATTCTATTTTAATATTTATGCACATTTTAGGTAATTGTTTATACAGGTCTCAGCAAAACGTTCCTGGGTAAAAAACAAAATGGCTTGCAGCAATATATACAAATGGGATAATAAACAAATCTGCGCTAATGAAAACACAGAACAAGAAATATATACAAATGACTGTTGTCACTTTAGTGCCGATACCTTTGTTATCCCGTTCCAGTTTTTCCTGAAGACTTTTCTTCCAATCCATTGTAGAGAGGCTGTTATTTTCTACAAGAGACAAATACATCATCATACATCAAGAGGGTGTGTGTTCACGTGTACTGTGTTAACCCAACAACTCAATACATTGAAAGATTTTGAAAAAGAAGAGGAAACAAACATGTGCCATACTCCCAAATACAACATGCCTAACATCTTTGTAAAAAGCCTTCAGCCTTATTTCATATGGATTCTTAAGCACTGAACCAATGGCAAGCAGTCAGCATTCTGCTAAATTCAGAGCAGTGCACAATGGGGGGGGGTTATCAAAACCGGAGCAGACAGAATCTGGAGCAGTTGACTGTGGCAACCAATCAGCTTCTCTCTTCAGTTTGTTCAGTTAAGCTTTGAAATTGAAAAATATAAGTGGTTTGGTTGCAGTGCACAGTAGGGCTGCAACAACTAATCGGCATAATCGATTATTGAAAAAGTTGTCAACTTTTTCAATAATCGATTAATCGGTTTCCGATCAGTTGGCCCTGTTCACAGCTCCACACGCTGTGCGCCGCACCTCCTCCCCACCTCATGCTCGCCGCTGCCAGACCCGCCTTCCCGCATCACACTCACCGCCCACCCACATCCACGATCGGCACAGGGACGCGGGGAGATGTAGTAAGGAGGAGCAGGTGTGGGGTGATGACAGCCGCCGATAGACAGGTCCGATCTCAGAAGCAAGTTGCTGGAAGACTGCTCAGGTAAGCCTGCACTTTTCCACACGTGGTGCTCTATAATGTATTGCTGGGATTTGTATTCCTCTATAGCTGATGGTACATTGAGCTGTATATTATACATAGGAATACAAATCCCAGAAATACATTATACACTGTATATATAATGTATTGCTGGGATTTGTTGTACTCTTCTATAGCTGGTGATATTCTGCATTGTGGAATAGCTGGCGGAATACCACCACCTATAGAAAAGTACAACAAATCCCAGCAATAATACATTATACAGTGGTATTCTGCATTGTGCTGCAATAATGTACTATTGCTGGGTTTTGTAGTCCTCTATAGCTGGTGGTATTCAGCATTGCACCACTGTATAATGTATTATTGCTGGGATTTGGTGTACTCTTCTATAGCTGGTGATATTCTGCATTGTGGAATAGCTGGCGGAATACCACCACCTATAGAAAAGTACAACAAATCCCAGCAATAATACATTATACAGTGGTATTCTGCATTGTGCTGCAATAATGTACTATTGCTGGGTTTTGTAGTCGTCTATAGCTGGGGCCATTCTGCATTCATTGCTGTATAATTTTATACTTTTCATTTCACTATATTGCACACCCCACTATCTTTTTTCTTTTTTACTTCCACCGCTCCAAGCTTGCTCCTGTGATGGACTACAACCTCAATACAAACTAGTAGTCCCATCACTGGAGCCTTTTTTTAAACTTTTATTTTATTGTTTATCCGATTAACAGATTAATCGAACCTAATAATCGGCTAACTAATAGTTAGCTGCAGCTCTAGTGCACAGCTGCTCCAGATTTTGTCTGCTCCACTTTTGATAAATTCTCCTCAATGTGTTTTGTTTGGCTGCTTACGACAACTTAAATTCACTGAACTAAACTAGCCATTGAAAGCTCTCCTGCCATCACTTGCTACATTAAGGAGTCCTGCTCTGCAGTCAGAGGTTCCTCCTGCTCACCCCCACCTGTCTACAAGCACAGTAGTGACATACAGGTCGGTGGGAGAGACCACTGAGGCCAATCCAACCCGTTCTTCATCAAGCACAGATGGAGCAGTACCCCCCCCACCCCCCCGCTGCTTATAAGGTAAATAGAACCCACACAAGCAGCAGCTGATCCGTGTGTATGTGAGCTTGGCTGACTTACCAAGTATACGTCAATAGAGCAGACAAGTACGTTCATTATTCTTTGCCGGAAGCTCTTATTTGGAATTTGAGATTGGTGACTGGGTCACTTTAAAGATGAACCATTGAAGGTCCTAGCGGCCTGGCTGACCTTCCTGGATGGATACTTACCCAGAGCAAATGTGCCGATAAAGACTTCTGACTTTTCTCCAAAATACAAATCTCCCACTTGTTCCGGGATGGTATCTCAATGCAACAATGGCAGAGGGTCTGCGTAACAGCCAGGCTGCTCAGACTTTCAGAAGGTCAGCAGTAACAAACAACCCCAATATTCCTCATGTGAGAGATTTACTTAAAGAAGAACTCTGGGCAGAAATTGGATTATGCCTTCAGTGGGGCTACCCCCTCGCTGCAAGGCTTAGCTGCTTGTTTTTGCCCAGGGTAAAGAAAAAAATATATACTTACCTGATTCTTGGAGCTAGCAGCGCTCCCTACAGCCTCTCTCCTCTGCCTCAGCAATGGTATGTCCCTTAGCATTCTCAATATGCAATACAGTGTACTGGATGTGATGGCTTGCGAATTCCAAGAATGCTGTGGAGGAGGGGAGAGAGACGTTCCAGGGACCGGTCTAAGAGCTGGCCGACATTTTGTATACAGTGGGGAAGGGTTACATCCTCTGTTAAGTTTGTATTGCTGTGCCCCCATTGGTGAGATTCACCTCTCCATTTGTACTGAATACCCATTGTCACCAATGTTTAGAGTTGTCCCCAGAAACAGAGGGTGCGGGGAAAGCTTTCAACAGAGACACTCGTTGAAGGACTCATTTACACCTAGTGCATTGAGCAATGCAGGCTTAACACAAGGACAGAGGAAATACCATTACTGCCTGTTAGTGATGTGCATGGGCTTAGCGCAAACCAAGTTTTCCCCAGCCCACACAAACAGTGAGTGATACAACCCCCTCCTGGCCCAATCAGTTGTGGCCGGGGCACTCCCAACCCCACAGCTACCTATAACAAAGGGATGGGGAATGCTCCAACTAATTGGGCCAGGAAGGGGATGTGCCACTGATAGTTTAGTGCGGGCTTGGTCAAACTAGGTTCTCACCAAACCCACACACATCTCTACTGTCTATGTGCCCAGCTGACACCAAAGCATTGTGTCGGTGTGCTCTGAATGCATAAAAGATACAAAAAGAAAAAATTAACGCACTACAATGTGATTTAACAATGTAGTGCAGTGTACATTCGCACAACACTATGCACACAATAAGACATGCCTGTGGTGTGAACAAGCCCTAAGAAGAGAATTCCCCTCACTTTGAAAGATTTCACCTAACTTCCTGTTGCCTCTCTGGGACAAGAAATTAAATTTCCCCAATGCTACAGAAACAAAACAAACAAAACAACAACACAAACAAAACAACCTGGCAGAAGTTTAAACCTTCCCTATCCTATCCAAAACTAAAAAAACGTTAGGACTATGCACTTCACATATTTAAGGTTCTGGTACAAGACCTGAGACTGCCCCTATTAACAAGAAACAAAGTGTCACCTATGAAATGATACCGAAAATGTAAATACTCACTTTCTCTCCCACAAACAATGAACCCTACAAACACACACACTGGTGGTATGTTCAGCACTTTGAGTCACCCTGGTCCTTTGTTTTCTCTTGAACAAATTCCAGGAAAGCAGTCATTCTACCCATTCTTCTATTATCAGGAAAACATGCCGTCACAAGAGCCCGGACCCTCCGCTGTCTCATACCCCGTATAATCCCGGTTACTATGATACACCACAGCCAGACCTTTCCAACAGTTCTATACAAAACGTCACTTCCTCACTAAACAAGAGTTTGGCCCAAACTTACTATAAATGAACGCTTTACGACTCTGTCTTCAATTCCGCGCGTTTTATTATTAGGGCAAGGAGCCATTTTTCAGTAGACCAGGCGCATAAAAAGCAAGCCGTTAACTAAAGCAAAATGGCGCCACTACTGGAGACAAAAACATTTTTCCTGTCACCGCTGTCCCGTTTAAGACAACGCGGCCCGGAAGTGAATGCAGTCTGTCAGCTCCATGTGATCTTAAGAGGGCACGCTTGGTTATAGTTAGTTTTTTAGTACTGTGTATGATGTTTTGAAAGGAGATGACTGTATGTGGTGCTGCTTTTTTTAACACGTCTCTGAGCAACTAAAAGAACCATTGTAGCGGTTCGTAGTTAGTAAAATACAGATAGGGTTCATCAGTACTGTACCATGTTATCATTACATTTGTTTTGCAGGACTTTACACAGGCAGTTTAGCAGAACCACTGTGTGCCAGGCAGCTGCTGATTCTTTCGTCCCTGGGTTGATCAGATTGCAGTTTAACAGTCCGTCCCATAAAATAAGTACTTCATGCAGTGCGCACGCACGTATAGAAGATACCTTCTATGCAAAAGGCTTTAAACAGACTAGACATGACAAGCCCAAGATGGGGACATCTGTGTTTGCTGCTGGTTCAGCCAAAAGAAGGTCTCTCGGGATTAAAGATGAAGAGCCTCGATCAACGAAGCAGGGTTTTACCCCTTTAAATACCATGCCTCTGACTTTACCCACTGAGCCACTGGGATCCGATGGCTGGAGCCAGCTGAAAGAAAAATCTAATTGCCAGACCAGGTACGAAGATCGAGTGCTTGAAGGGATGCTTAAAATGAACACCGATCTCGAAATTGCCAAATCTTTTTTGTCTTTCGTAGCAGAAAAAGATGGTGACATCAGCTATCGGTTTCTTGTGAAGTACCTGGTGTTGTGTGTACAGCAGAATCAGGGAGCAGAGGTTTGTGATGTGTATGACATCATGAGGATGAAATTTCAGTCTTTTGATACCGGGGCCAGTAGTTTGTTCATTAGGGGTTTAGGCAAAACGGACCGCTGGAGGGAGTCCATAGCTATTTTAGAGACCATGAGGAAAGGGGGGTCTGTTTCTGCCCGGAACTATGCGGACTGTGTCAAGGCAGCTATTGGACACCAAGAACGTGCACTTGCATTCACACTGTACGATGAAATGGTACAGAATAAAATGCTGCTTCCTGAAGATGCGCTTCAGAGCCTTTTTGATGCCTCTCAGGATTTGCAGGATGATGATTACAGAAGAAGGCTGATCTCCATTCTAAGTTACTTTAGAGAAAACCAGATCTATCCTGGAGAAGTGCTGATGAAAAGTATAAAATCCTGGTTTGAAAGGTAAGGCTGCATGCTAAAGCGAAATTCCATCTTAAATCCCATCTCCAGCCAAAACACAATTTTAGTTACAGTAGGGAAGGGTTATAAACACTGTCAGATTTATATTGCAGTTTATGTCTTTGTAGAGAAAATATCGCTTCCTGATCTGGTGACCACAGATTAGGAAATAAACAGACACACAAATGGCAATAAAAACCTGACAGGGGTTCTAGCCCTTACCCACTCTACCTAGAGGGGAACCTCACCCTGCAGTGACAGGCAAATATACTTGATGCTGTAGAGCTCTAGGAAAACAAAATACCTCCCCTTACAGTGGGGCTACCCCCACATTGCAAGGGTTAACTGCTCGTTTTTGTTTAGGGGACCTGTGTAACGCTGGCTTCAAGACCAGTTCTTGCAGGCTCCCCCCTCCCACTTTAGTGGTTGGAGGCCTACAGAAGTCATTATGTACAATGCAGGGCCCACAGCCCTGCATTATATTTGAAGACACCAAGGAACAATCCCCAAGCCAGAGGGGAGAGAGGTGAGCACCAACCGCTAGGGTAGGCGGGATCAGCTAAGTAAAACTGCTTTACACAATCTGCCTAGACATAGCAGGTAACCCTTGAAGCGCAGGGGTAGCCCCACTAATACGGTTTTTTTTTGTTTCTATGGAGGCTTTAAAGCTCAAGTTTATGCTGCCTGTTTTTTGCCTTCCCTTGTTCCTGATTTTCCCCCGTGTCAGCAACGCAAATAAAAATTATTAGGTAAAACCTTTCTGTTTTTCATTACATGCCTTTTTTTTTTTATTTTTTTTTTTTTTTTTTTTTTTATTAGACACATTGACAGCATTGCTGGGTGTCTGTGCAATGCATGCAGATCATGACTGGTGGGGGGACCAGTCATGAAAACAGGAAGCTGCAGTAATGCCCAGATATGTTGCCAAGCCTCCATAAAGGAAAAATGTAAATCGAAATAATGAAAGAGGAGGTTCAAGGCAGTGTAAGGCGGAGGAGGAAAGAGCTAGATGATGCTGGATGTCCTCCAGCCCAGAAATTAGGCAGAATTTATTTGCTTTGCTACAGCTTCTAATGCACATTGTGCTCAGAACAAATAAAAATTATATAATCAGAGCTCCTGTAAGCAGTTCTGTTGGTGATTGTAAAGGTTACACAGTAAATATAAGATCATTTAGTTTGTTGCTGTTGAGGTTTTTACTAAGGAATGTCTTAAGTTCAGAACCACTAAAAGTGTATCATGGACTGGCCTGGCGTCCTATTCCAGAATAGCACCTGCGGATGGGAATTTGGAGCTCAGCTGTACATAATTACATAGTTATTCAGGTTGAAAAAAGACACAAGCCCATCAAGTCCAACCTATAGAGATAAAAAGAAGAAAAGCCTAAACAGAACACTATGCCCACAATTACCCAATGTTGATCCAGAGGAAGGCAAGAAAACCCCCCTATAAAGCACGGTTCAATTTACTTCAACAGGGGAAAAAATTCCTTCCTGATCCCATAAGGCAATCGGATATTCCCTGGATCAACAATCTCTGATGCTTAATATACCTCTAAGAACTCAATATCCAGTAATATTCTGTGCATTTAGGAATACATTCAGATGTTTTTTAAAACAATTAACCGAGCTAGCTAGAACAAGCTCCTGGGGGAGTCTATTCCACATTTTCACAGCTCTAACTGTGAAGAATCCTTTCCGTAGAATGCTGTATTTCTAGCAATTCGCTGCGTACAGCAAATTATAATCCTCTTCTTTTTTTTTTTTAAATAGAAAAGACAAAAAGTGGAGGTAGATCAATCCACCCAAATTCCTGATTTAAAAAAAAGTCTGAATAAAGAATATCTACAGTACAACAGGAACCAAACCCAAAGGCCAACTGCCATAGCATGTCTCCAGGGGTCCTGAGTAGAGATGAGGCTGGGCTTGGTGTGAACCCAGTTCCCCAAGCTCGTTCAAAGCTCTGACTAATGCCGCCTCCTCTTGGGCCAATTAGTGGGGGAGGGGCATTCCCCTCCGCTTTGTGATGTATAGCTGCAGGGTGGGGAATGCATCTCTCCACAACTGATTGGATCAGGAGCAGGAGGTGGCGATCAGAGCTTTGAGCAGGCTTGGACGAACTCAGGTCAGTCCCAGCCCCATCACTAGTCCTGAGCACTTCCTGCATCCCATTATAATGTATGCCCTGTTAGACATTTTGTCAGGACATCATTATGTTTGTTATTGGACATGTGAATTGTATTCTGAAAAGTCATTTTCATGTCTTTTAGTATTCCCAATGAATTCTGGAGGGGGAAACTCACCAAAGTCACTAATGGGTAAGTGTTTAAAAGAACTTGACACCTCTTGACTTGTGGACTGGTTTGGGAAGCACTGCCATGGGAAATTATTGTGCTTTTTGCTGCACTACCAGATGCGATATCCCAGGGAATTCTGTAATTGCAGCCGTCTGTCCTTCATAAGCCTGGGAATGGCAGAAAGTGGGGGCTTCCCCCTGTGCTTCCATAATGGTGCCCTGAAGAAACAGTGGCTTTCCCATTTCCTGAAAGAAGCCCTTAAAGCCTGACTGAGCTTTCAGTTTGAATCCGTTAAATATATTCAATGGGCATCAGAACAAAAGATGTGCAAAGTTTTACCATTTCTTTTCTTTGAAAAAAAGAGAGAGAGGGGAAGTTTAAAACCCTCCTCCTATATTTTTTTAATGTAATAAATGATTTTGTAGAGATCATTCTCAAATTTGATACACCAGAGTAAGTATTTACGTTTCCTACTTTTAAGCCCAACCAAGTCAATATCAGCTAAATACAATTTAGGTGTATGCAAAGTCTGTTTATTTCCTTTAGAAAGCAACCACTTAATGCATAGTAAAGCCTGTCCCCTGCCAGCATGCTGCAGAGAAGGACGATTGCCCTCTGGGTGGAAGCAGTGGTCTCTCTGCAGTTGATTCAAAGCTATAATTTCCCAATTTTCAAGGCGCATGAGATTTGCTGATTGAATAACTATAGCTGTGGCACAGCAGGGGAATGTTGGACCTTTAGCTTATTTATCCTGCATGTATATTTGGTCTGTGCGAGTTAACTAGCTGTTCTGAGAATGAGGCAAAAACATGTTCTTATTACAATTTCCTTTTTGAATGTTAGTAAGGAGATACAATGTTACAATTCTAGATATATACAGTTGAAAGGGCACTAGATAATGTATAACTGAGATAGTTAGACTGCATTAGTAGGTTGCCTGGTTTCATCTCTTCATCTCATTCAAAACTCTGCCATACTTCTTACAGTGGTCACTGCCAGGCATGTAATGAGCAGATTGAGTCCATCCATTTGACACCAGAAGAATACAGTATTCTGAAGAAAGCGGTCATTGATGGCATCATCAAAGGAGAAGATACATTTCGCAAGACCACTCCACAAGTGAGTCAAATATACACATTTCCTTTGGGATGAAAAGCCTCATGCCCCACTGAGCATTTCTTCCTCCAGTTCTTGCAATAGCTGCTGTGAAAAATTGCAACCTCATTGTCAGAAGATTTTTTCATTGCATTGCTTCACATTCTGTTTGCTCATTTAGTGCCCCTCTAAACACTGGGCCAATTGCACTGAGCCATGCAGCTGAGTGCGCATAAGCAGCCAAGATAAACATTTGTTCTTGCTGCCTTCCCATTAACTTATATTGTTCCCGCTGTAGGCCTTGCTGCCTGGAATATTGGTAAGAAAGTATGAAATTTGGTCCAAAGGTAACTCATTTGCTGTGTGCATTCTGCACCCAACATCATACCAGATGGTGCTGCAGGTGATTCTGTAATTATGCCTTTTAGTCCTGAAATGCTGTGGTTCTCTGGTGGCTGGATGGTCAACCACTTTAACTCAAAAACAAATGGGGATTTCCATTTATAATAAAAGCACTTTAAAGTGCAAAGCTACAGGTTCACTTTAATGCTGGCCCTTACAGCTGCTTATAGCTACTTTACCTTCACTCTCTGGCTGCTTCATTTGCTCATAGGAATTAAGAGAATAGGAACTGAATATTGCATGCTGCTAAGGACTATCTTCCATTTAACTGGGTTTCTGAGTGGCAAATCACCAACACTGTCATGTGAGATGAAGAGTGTCACGGGGTCCACCATACCCGGAAGCAGGGGGTATGCCACTTTGTTTTTTCTGGAGGAGCAAAGGGAAAGTAAGTATGAGCAGCTGTGGGGCTGGGATTAATGCTGAACTCTGAGTACACAAACTTTCATTAAAATATTTTCCACAATAGCCTCAAATAATATAAATTTACTTTGTGCGTGCTAAATGCCTTTCCAGACTCAGAAATTACTTTGTAAAAGTAGCGATGACATCATTGTGCTGCACACAAAGCTGTGGGAGTGACCCAGTAGGTCCTCCCACTACAGGCTGCCTGCATAAATCTACAGGAGGGGGCGGCTAGAAGACCAGTCATCCTGCACAAGTAGAGAAAGCAGCAGTGACCGGTCACCTAAGCAAAATCACATGCTGGAATACTGCACAGATTTAGAAGAAATTATTTGACACCAAGCCAAAGCCTCCCAAGATTCAAACTATATTCATATCTTCATAGCTCTTGTATTTGGACAATATTTGTTAAGCCTGGACTTCTGCTTTAACGTGAAGCCTGATTGGCTTAGTGCTATTCCCTTTACTGGGGCTGATCATGTGACTAGAGCTGGAATAGTCTTCTAGTCAGTACTCAGGAAACCAGAAGTGAGTGGAATATAAATGCACGTGTCAGCAGATAGAACTCTACAATGAAGTCTACCAAGACCCTTACAATGAATTTAAATGACCCAGGGATAGGGTTGCTTTATAGGTGGATACAATGAACTATGTGGCACTTAGCAGGCACTCTGTCAGTCTGAGATGGAAGGCGGTAGGTTTTATCATTCATCGGATTCCAGCAATGGTCATGTGTAAGAAATCTAGGATTGTATATCATTGATTCTGGTTGGATATCAATTGAGAATCCAACTGTAAGGCTCAGACCCCTTTGTAATGGCCCATCAGATTCCAGCTTTTTCTCTCTATTCCAATCAAAGGCTGGGGGAGCGACCCCAGGAACGTGTTACTTAACTGCAGTATAGACCATCAGGTCTCCTGACCTTCCAGACATGGCTGTGTATTGTGCCAGAGCTGTATAAACCTCAGAAGTGGATGAACAGAAATACAAATATTTTGGCAGTTAAATCTTATGATAATCTTAATTATTGGCAGGTAATCTTAAAGGAGAACTATGAGGTGAATGCTTTTCACTCACTTCATAGTTCTAGCCGACCTGTGACAATGAGATTGTCACAGGTCGGCTCAGTAGATCGGGAGGTCAGCAAACGCATACGGCGTTCGCTCACTTCTCGATCCTGTCACGGGGGAAGGGGCTGCATTCCCCCCTCCGATCCTCCAGCACTGACTGGCGGAACAGGGGGGGGGCAGGTACAGCTGGCTCTGCCTCTAGATAGGCAGAGCCAGCTGTCACTCACGCAGCTGGGCGTATCCAGACACAATTGTCAGGATCCGCTTCAGCTGCGGCGTCTCAGTATACCGCGAGCTGTAGCTCGCGGTATACTGAGCTTAGGGTGACGGGAGGACGCTAGTTTTTGTCCTCCCGTTACCCTAAGGAGAACTATGGGGAAAAGCCCTAACCCCATAGTTCTCCTTTTAAAGCTAGCTGTAACATAAATTCATTATGAAAGAAATAAAGAGGCCTCCATTGGTGAACCCCTTTTTTTTTTTTTTCTTTTCTTTTTTTTAAATAAATTTATAAAGATGACGTTTTCACATTTTTCCAAGGGTATCACAGAGGGGGAAAAAGGAACATAAATAATACATAAAAAATAAGGAAAAACTCAGGGTACAACAATGGCCCCACAGGGGCCCAGAGGGTGGGGTGAGGGACACATTGCAGATTAAATGAAGGCACAAATATCCAATCTAGACACTTACGGTGGCTTTGGGAAACATTGGCGGGGACCTCGGATATAGCATCAAATGGAGATTGGCAAATAGAGGTGAGTGGGTCCCACATCCGGAGTTCCACTGTTTAGGTACAAGATCGGGCCTTATTACTGTCTTAAAACATTGCAGTAC